GAGTTGCCGCCATGTGATTGGCTGATTAGAAATTAAGTGTTAACGAGCAGTTGGACAGGTGTACCTAATAAAGTGGCCGGTGAGTGTATATTGGAATTGGACACCATTTAAAAAAGCTCACTTAACCCCAGAAATGTTAGCTTATTTTATTTTACTTTGCTGAGATTTTAAATGGTAAATGGTAAATGGACTGTACTTTTATTGCGCTTTTCTATCCATCCAGGACATTCAAAGCGCTTTACACTACGATCTGTGTCCTCATTTACCCATTCACACAGATTTTAGTTTTTACTTATTTAATTTTTTCATATCCGGTTGATCCCCAACCAGATCTGCGTGGCATCAGTGAGGACTAGTTCTGCTTAGCCTCCTCCAAGTGTGCCTATTGAAGATTTCCAGGTTTTTGTGGAACAGGCTGGGAAGAGAGACACAGGACAACAGTAACATCTGGCTCCAGCTCCAAAGACGATTACTCCGCTACTCTCTAAGAACTCATCCCACTCAGACCTCGCTCTCTGTGTTTTTATCCCTCCAATACTGTACAAACACAGAGAGCACTGCAGACATGTGCTGATGCACAGATTGGTAAAGCCAGATGGCAGAATCTCTTTGTCACCTAAACTCCAATAAAATAACTCTGTAAACATTAGGGTGTGTGTTTCTCCAAGCTTAGTCTAAGCAATCCCTGAGTTGTAAAATAAAATGCAAAGTTTTTCCTTGAAATAACAAAAAGTGATGAATATTATATTGATTTTTTTTTTGTAATGCAGAAACGGCATAAAGTTTACATTTCTTGTACAATTTTTAATCAAAATATAGGCTTTTTTTTGGTCTTTTTTTTTAACCATATATTGGAGAAACTCAGTTTTCTCCAAAATGCTCCCAGATTGCACAGTGTGCCCACCCAAATTGTAAGCTTTGAATTTTCTCTTTAAGACTGGCGGTGAAGACTGTTTAACATTTGTTATATCTACTAAAGCTGTTGTGTTGTTATGATCATTAGAATTAAAGGTGAAAACTCAGTCAGGTGAACCTGAAGAGGCAGGGGCAGTTCTAGGGGCGGGGCCACAGGGGGATCAGCTCCCGCTGAATTCTGATTGGCTCCCTGAAGTGCCCATGTCATGTCACTCATCTGGGTTTGTCCGAGAGGGATGATGGCGAGTGCAGTTCCAAGTCCAAACACTAGTGGTGCTAATGAGTCAAATAGGAAAGTCCAGCATCACCAGGAMCCCTGATTAGTTGTAACATTAGACTTTATGTGACAAACATACACTTTAACAGTAAAATAAAGATTGTAAAATACTGTAGGATGTTCAGTTTTTATAATTTTTAAACTAAAAGTTTAAAAATATATTACATGGACGGGGCCATTTTATTTACACGCAAAGCATTCTGGGTAAATGATGACATCAACTACAGGTCATAGGTGCGAGGCTGCTAGCGAGCTATATCCACCCTGAAGGTTAATCTTGGACAATATCTGATGATCGACTCTTTTAAATGAAACCAGAGAGCGTTGACAGAGAGGAGAAGGTAGAAACGACTCAGCCTGTAACTGAAAATATGGATGGAGGACAACAGAGCTGCTTCATGGAAGAAGAACCTCAGCTTAGCCTGTTAGCTTTAACGTTAGCCCCAATGCTATCACCATATATATGTATTATCTCAGCGCTACACATTCTCCTCTCATCACTGAGGTCCTCCAGCCACATGACAGAGAGGGGAACACAAAAATGACTCAGTCTGCAACTGAAAATATGGATGGAGGACCTCCGTTTAGTTTGTTTGTCACACTAGCACCGAGCTAATACATATAAGACAGTATAGCGTGAGGGCTAGCGCAAAGGCTAACAAGCTAAGCTGAGGTTCTTCTTCCATATTTTCAGTTACAGGCTGAGTCATTTCTACCTTCTCCTCTCTGTCAACGCTCTCTGGTTTCATTTAAAAGAGACAATCGTCAGATATTGTCCGAAATTAATCTTCATATAGCTCACTAGCAGCCTCGCACCGATGACCTAGTTGATGTCATCATTTACCCAGAATGCTTTGCATGTAAATAAAATGGCTCCGTCCGTGTTAAAATATATTTTAAAAAAGTTACAAATCTAAACAGCCTACAGTATTTTTTCAGTCTTTATTTTACAGTTAAAATAAATGTTTATCAAATAAAGTTTAATGTTACAACTAATCGTGGATCCCTTTAAAGAATTCTTCTCAGTGGAAGATTTGAACAGTCTTGTAGAAAAAGTCTTTCAACTGACAAATAATGGCTGAATTTTCTCACATGCTGTGTGTTTAAAAGTATTTTATGTATGTACAGTAAAAATGCATGTAAAATTGTTAAGGAGAATTTCCTTTGGAAGTTTTTTTTATATATTACATTACGTTGCAAGTGTTTGAAAATGTGTGAATGCATGTACTCACCTTACCAAAACTGGGGATTTATGTGAAAGGATGTTGAACAAATACTTGGCTCTATAAATAGTGTGTGGCCCCTTGACGGCACCTTTCTCAGAAAAATTCTAGATCTGCCACTGTAAAGATGTAACTTTAATAAATTAAACAAAAAGCTGGTGATGCAGTGAACATATAAAAAATATAGGCAGCACAAGGAACAGGTGGGATAATATAAACCACTGGAGAACACGGGTCTGAAAACCAATGTGCAAAAATAACAACTGACAGAACCAGGAGTGTCAGTGACAGAAAAGCTACGGATAACTGAGGGAAAAAAATGAAGAATAGTAACATGAAGTGCGTTAAACTCTAATATCTAAATAAACAGGGAGATGAATGACTAATAAACATGAATAAACTCAAAACATTAAAACTGCAAGTTTGTGACACAGACAAACAAAGCTTGGGTCATTTGAATTTCAGGGTTTTTAATGAATAGTTTTTGCACAATGCCTGTTGATTTGAGGCCTAATATTTACTCTGCATTTCTGTCATCCTGTTCCATTAAGTGAGCTGCCAGAGTGAAAGATGTCAGTTTACCATGGTGACCCTAGCTTTTACATTACTTTTGATCTTCTTTGTTTTTACACTTCCTGTATCATTTTTGTCTCAAAAAGTATTCTGTCAGATTAAATTGCCACGAAAGGAAATTCCAAATTATTATTGGGCTGTAGAACAGCGGTACAGAGACCAGTATAATAGATGATTTCCCCCGACCCGACCCCACCCCATACTGGCCCCCAACTGGGCCAGACATTTTTATTTTCCTGAGTCCTGGCTTATTGCTTGGTGTACATCTCTAATTTTCATTAGCTATTTAGAATTAGTGGAACATAAAAAGCACATAAACAAAACAATTAGCGGTTAATATATATTAAAACTACATATTGTTAAAACTACAAACTATGTATAATATATATTATACTATTAAAACTTAAACTCTCATCGCCTGGAATTAAGACAACTGGTATAAAACCAATGTCCTTAACATCAGGATGCAGGTCTCAGGGATTATATGCAGAATATTTTTAATAGATATAAATTTAGATGAGGRCAAACACAGTGGTGACAGAACTTTTCTCACTAAAAATATCAACTAAACAAAATAAAAAACTTGAGTATCACAAAGCGATTCCTTAACTCCTGTATTGCTGTATTTGTCAAATAACCTCTAACTGACAACATCACAAACATTCAGCTGGTTTGATGCCATTGCCACCCCAGGATTTTCAGTGTGCACCCTCCCCGTCGAATCAAAAAAAGTCCAGGAGGCGCCACTGCTGTGGAGGAAAAAGTTGATGTGGTGGAATTTTAGATAGCGAGTAGCCTATATATTGACACGTTTAAACGTTGCCAGTGTTCAACACAAAAGGGTCAAATAAACATTTCCAAGCACTTAATGTGTCGTGGTTCTCATGAGTTGTATCTCCTGTGCGATGTGTGCGTACCTGTACCAGTCCAGACCGCGCGCGTAATGCCGATCAAAGAAGTGCGGCTCCGAGCCCAGGGCGCGGATATCCGGATGGAGCCGCAGGAACTCCAGCAGAGCCCTGGTGCCTCCCTTTTTAACCCCAATAATCAGAGCCTGGGGYAGTCTCCGCGTGGCCGTCCACTCTTTCCCCGAGCTGTTCCCCTCCAGTCCAGACTCTCCATCCGCGTGGCTCACGTTCCTCTCCGGCCAAGCTGACCCCGCCACCAGAAGATCGCGCGCAGAGACGTCCGAGTTGTCGGTGAGCTCCGACTCGCAGCATCCGGCGAAGATATAGACCAGGGAGAAGCAGAGGATGCTCAGGGAGAAGGCAATGGTGAGCCGGTGGAAGAGCCGCCGCAGGTCGGCGCTCGGGGGGTGGAGGGGATGGTGGTTCCARAGCTGGTGCTGGCGTGGGTGAAAAGCTGCCATCCCTCGGTCGTCAGCGCCAGGTGAGTGGCCATCCTACCACAGTCTGAGCTCACATCCCAGCCCCGGTAGCATCCCTCTAAACTCTTGATGAGTCTGTCAGCGCGTCCCGCTGCTCTCCATGGTGCTGCGCGTCTGGAGCGCACTGGGGCAGCCCCCCCTTCTGCTCGCCTCCACGGAGCCCACCACACAACGCGAGGGGTACAATCAGCTAAATTAATGTTTTGCGTGACGATCTAGGGTGCGGGATCACTTACTGGTCCAAGCAGCAAACGTGGGGAGTTAAATAAAGCGTTGATATGTGAGCCGCGCGCTGCTGGGGAGGAGGGAAAGGTTGACTGAGTCTGTGTCCACTTCACAGGATTACCTCTCTCTCTCTCTCTCTCTCTCTCTCTCTCTCTCTCTCTCTCTCGCACTCTGAGATGCTTTTGATTGGGTGGGTCATGTCCTGAAGCGCCTTTAATACTATCCGGGGAGCTGAACTCTGTGTGCAGATCTTTATGTCTATACCTCCTAATGTGATTAAGTCCTTCAAACTCTGAGGTTTTATGTCTTACATCATCTGAAACTTTAAGCACCCAGCTAACATTATTCTTATAATAAAACAAAACCACTTTTGCACCCTTGTCAATAAATGTGTAACACATATGTGTGTGGAAAAGTTACTGGTGACATTTGGATTCGGGTTTAACACATTCATCTGACACTCTAAGACCTATGGTGTAATTGACTTAGCAATCAGACTGTATTAGGTTCTGGCTGTACACCTGCCAGCAGGTTACTAATCCTGACCTCAAACTACCCTCAACATGGTTCCACACTAAGGGATCATTCAGAAAAATTCCCAAACTGTGTCTGCAGTGAAGTGACTCCGCTCCATTGCTCTGTTTCCTTTAAAAATATATTTTGTTTTGTTTTAGTTTGACTTATAGACATATTTTGGAAAGTGTGCGTGTGAGTAAAAGGGAAAATTAATTATGATCGTACTTGCTGGCAGCCCTTTGAGTGGCCTCTGTTTGTGGAAATGCAGTTTATTTTTGACAGGACTCAGGATCATGCATGGCCAAAACAAGCCAAGWCCAAAGTGCACTGCTGCCATCTTAAAATTTTAATGCATGTGGTTTAAAGATGATTCATCAATATATGGCAGTTTTTTTTTTATTTTTATTTTTTTGTTTTTTGTTAGATTCAGCGGGGGACAGACGCTGCCCCTGAGAGTTTATTTGTTTAGCTTCAGATAAGGCACCCAGGTCTTTTTTACTCTGAGGCCTGCTGACTGTGTGTGCTGCTGGAGCTRATTGGAGTCAGAGATGAGAATGAAGTTTTTAGAAAAGAATCAACTGGTTTTCTGCTATATTATTCAGAYTTCCATTTATTGATCATGAATTCCCTTCAGAAGGATGGATGGTCTGACATCACTGTTACCATCATTTAKAAAGAATTCTCTGTTTTCTTGTAAACACAATCGCTACTGCATTTTGAGTGGCTCCAAAAAGTTCAGAATAACTTTGCTGTAGCCAATTTGAAACTGAAAGAGATGTAAGAATTTGTAAAATAGCATTTGCATTTTAATAATATATTTAAACAGAAGATGTTTTAAGAGGGCAATAATTCTTTTAGTTCTTGATCCTGGAACCAGTTGGTCAAAACTAAACTCAACTGTCCAAACTGAATTGTTGTGAATGTTTGTGTCTCCAACCTGCCTCCAATAGTCGCAGCCCAGTGAGATACTATTTTAAAAGTGCCCATGCAGTGGTAAGTGTTTCTGCCAAAAACACTCACCGCTAGGTGGCTGAGAAACGCTCACATTAATAATACATCAAAATATGGAGAAAGAAGTATCTTAGCTTCACTAAAGATTCTCCCAAATCCTGTTTCTTTGGTATATAGTTTGTGCTGAATTATTAAAATTTCAGCACACAATCGAAGTTTAATGGCAACAGGATTGGGATAAAATGAGAGACACCTATGAAAAATGACAAAAACAGCTCTGTTTTTATTTTGGTTTCTTGGTGCATGCATGAAGCAGACTGGTTCATCAAAAGCTCTCTGTTCTCTGTCCATGTAGATCCATCAGAAACAGGGTTTTTTTATCTCCACCTTAGAAAACCTTTAAAAAAATATTTATCATATCCAAAACTGCAGTTTGCGTTGACGCCGATTTCTCTTCATGACAATATCTAGAGTACTGTGGACAGGGCCTAAATGAAGAATTGCAAATGATGAGTGTTTGCGTCATGAGTGGACTGTGTATTGCGTTGCATCTCCCAGCAGGAGCTCTGCAATGTTGGCTTTTATTATTGCAGAGTGCAGAGCTTTGGTAGAGGTAATAGCTCATAGCAGACTCATTAGTTTCCCCTCCCAGACACATAAACAAAAATGAGTGTGGACGCACACATACACACCCACATGCACACATACTTCATGTTCCATTTGRTTTAATCCTGTCATTAGCCCATAGCAGATGTGACCTGTGCCATAAAACCTCTGCATTGTCTTGCAATAACCAAACACATCTGCAGCTATTTTCAAAAACAATTTGACTCTTTGTGTTATTTGGCCTTCCCAGTAATTGTTCCTTTTATAGACACAACTGTTCATCCCAAATGATGGGTTTTATTCTCAATGTGACATAAATGTGTAATGACACAATCCCTTTTATGATATACAACATTAATTTGCATCTTCAGCATGTGGATGACACAGTGGACACTGTGGCAGCCTTAGTTAGCTCTGTCCCCTCGCAGCCCCAAGGTCCTACAGCTGGGGTTTTTCCATTTGCATATGCACATGTGGGTTTATTCCATGCTCTGGTGAAACATTTAGTTTCTTGGTGAGTTAAATCGCCTCCCCACGAGTGAGTGTGTGCTGTTTGTCTTGTGCGACTTTGTTCTGGCTCTGTCATGGATTGGATCTGCTTCCAGAATGTACCCTCTCACCAGATGTATGATGGAGATACCACCAGCCTTCAGTCACCCTGAGCAGGACTGAGAGGGTACAGAAAAAAAATTAGGATGAATTTTTTAATGGGCTGTTTCAAGAGATTTTGTAGAGAAGTTAAAATTATTCATGTTTTACCAGTAGTAGATAACTAGTTGAACAGCCGGTTGGGAGAAAAAGAGCTTAGGTTTGATTGGATTGATGAGCTAACGGCTAGTCCAAAATACAAGAGAGATCAAAGTAGATTGCTACCATCTTAAAATGAGGTCATCCCTTTGTTCCACAGTACCTATGCTCCAAATGTCACCCTATAACGCCTGCATTGGGTGAACTAACTTTTATGACTGTAGTGGTCACCTTGAGGTGGAATAATAGGTTGTCATTCATTTCATTATGTAACCTTGATTTAAAAATGATAATAACTTTTAGTTAAAAGAAAATATAAATATAAAGAACATTAATATTTTGTTCATTATCTTGATTAAATAAAATACAATAAAATATAATAAAATAACATAAAATAAAATAAAATGCCTGCATTGGGTGAACTAACTTTTATGACTGTAG